TTGCATTTAATAATATATTTTCAATAGATTTGAGATGTGGTAAGGGTTTGTTTGTATTTTTACGTCATAGATAAACAAGCTTCTTCTCTACTATCTCATAGAAATGTAGACTATAGCACTTGGTAAATCAGCTATCAAACATGATTTTAATTTAAGGGAAAATCCTCTTTATCCCTTAAGGGTTTGGCCTTGGAGCACTTGACTACCTGTCAATTAAAAATACCATAGACTCCTCATGTGCTTTTAGACTAAATTGCAACACTAACTCCGTAATCTTAATACCTATCTACTTTCTTCTCATTCTCTCTCTTCTGTTATATATATAATATTTTTTTTATTCTAATTACATGTTAACCAAATAAATTATTAGCCTATACACCCTAACATTATAATTTACTTTGTAAGTTATATCTTAATTTATAATTTAATCATATTATACACATATTAAGTTGTATATATAAATGAACAAGTTTTAGGATACGTTGGAGTTATTCAAATTCGAAGAGGTATTTTCGATACTGGAATTGATTTTCAGGACTAGAATGTGTGATGGTAGTGGGTGCTATTGGGTTCGTGTAGAATGGTGGGTGAGGGGTGAGGGAATGGCAAGGCTAGTGGGTGAGGGGAGATGGGGTGGGCTAAGTTGGGGAGAGGGGTTGACAGAAGATGGTTGTGGAAGTGAAAAAGGATTACAGGGGTGGTGGGTGAGCAAAGTGAGTATTGTAACGGAACTAGGTGAGATGAAAGGAGATGGCAGGATAAAGGGGAGCAAGGTTTTAAAAATGGACTGAAACTATTATGTAACACCATTACATAATATTGCTATCCATTACAGCTGCTTTGGCAGAGTGATTCAATTGCACAATTGAAATGGCCCTCATTGTTATGAACACCTGTAACAGGTTAGAAGATGATGTTAATGATGTTTAACTATTGTAAAGTTGAACAATAGTTAGAATTGATATATACATATGAATGATGTTTTATTTACAAAATGGTATTGATTGTCATTTAATTTGTTAATGTTTCATTTACTTTCCACTGAAATTTTTTCTTTTTTTGTCCAACTTTACAATAAATTGATGTGCAAATATTTTCAACAAAAAGTTGCCTGACATTATTTCTCATTTTCTTTGGTACAGATGGATAATCTCGTGCACAAAGCTAAATTGTATAGGACTAATTGGCATGATAAGAATTTTTGAAGGAATATATATTTTTGGATAGATGCATGTATGGAAAAGATTTGGGTGGACTAGTAGTTATATTTTTGGATAGGCTAGTAGTTATATTTTAGGATGGATGTGTATGGACAATATTTGGGTAGATTACTAGTGTGTATATTTTTTGATAGATGCGCATGGATAACAATTTAAAACATAATAAGTAATTGTTATGTTTTAAATTGTTATGTTAGATGGATGTGACTTGGATGATTATATAGATTACAAGTGGATTTTTAATTGGAGGAATATGTAGTTTGAAATTATTTGTGGATGAAAACTTATAATAGTTGATGACTTTCATTAAACAGGTTCAAGATTGGATGATTTATGTATTTTGTCGAATGTTTATGATTCAGTTGATTTGAATGATTCTTGCAAATTACATATTATATTGAATGGATTGGATGAATTATTATGAATTACAGGTTTATTTTGTTGGATGTTGGCGACCAAATTTTGAATTTGTTTTTTTGGTTTTGCGACCAATTGATTAGTCGGGAAAGATAACTAATATTTTTGCCAACTAAATAAGGTAGGCGAGAGGGTACATTTGGCGACTAAATAATTAGTCGTTAAAATCATTAATTTTGGCGACCAAAGGATTTGTCGCTAATAGGTAAATTGCCGACTAAAGTTTTAGTTGCGTAAACATTCTTTTTCGTGACTAACATGTTTGGTGGTGGAGTAATGTCACAATTGGCGACCAAATTTTTTGGTCGCAGAATGTGACAATTGGCAACCTAAATTTTTGGTCGCCAAAACGGGCCACAATTGCCAACCAAACTTTTTAGTCGTGGAATGTGTCATTTGTCGACCAAATTTGTTGGTTGCGGAATGTATTGCCGACCAAACTTTTTGGTCGTGAAATGTGACAATTGGCGACCACGTTTTTTGGTCGCCAAAATCGGTCACAATTGCCGACCAAAGTTTTTTGTCGTGGAAAATGAATTACAATTGCTGACCAAACTTTTTGGTCGTTGAATGTGCGAATTGGCGACTGACATGTTTGGTCGGGAAAATATAATTTTTTGCGACTAAAGTGTTTTAACAACTAAATCTTTTAGTCGCAGTAATTATATATTTAGCGACTAAAAATTTAGTCGGCAAATAGAACTTTTTCGCGACTAAAGTGTTTTAACTACTAAATGGATTAGTCGCAGGAATTATATATTTAGCGACAAAATTTAGTCGGCAAATTAACTTTTTCGCGACTAGAAGTCGCTAATTACTTTCCGCGACCCTCAATTGGCGACCAAGGTGGCAACCAAAAAATTAGTCGCGGATAACTTTTGCGGACTAAAAATGGACTTTTGCCGACCAAAATTTTAGTCGGCAAAAGTGCGAATTCTTGAAGTGTTTGTGTATCTTTATGAGTCTATGAAAAAAAAATTAAATTGATCTAATAATTATAGTCATATTTTTTTCTTTACATTTTTTTTTCAAAAATATGGACAATAAAAGTGATTTTGAAATTAAATTGTCTATTTTTTAAAAAACAAATATAGAAAAATAATATAATTATAATTATTTGATGAGCAATGTTAGGGATTCGAACTAAATTATCAAATATTTTACACAATACTCACATAGGTATGAGACTCACACCACCTGAGACTCACACCCATGTAAGTATTAAGTAAAATATTTGATAATACATTTAGAGTCTTTAATATTTTTTTTGTGGGATTCATATGATTTTTTCCATAAACAATCCACACATAGGAGCGTACAAAATAAACAAATTGAATTACTAAAATCGGGCCCATGGTAGGTCTCATAGGCTCAACTAAATAGTCCTGGACACAATTGTGGCATGGAGAGAAGCTATAACCTTTATTAGACAGGTAAGAAATTAAAAATAACCTACTTAAAAATATGTTACGATTTCTCATTACTCGAAAATAATCGCATGGATAATGACAAATAATACTCTGGAAGTATCTAATAGTTTTCTTATAAAGAGAGACCTAATTTGTAATTAATTAAGCAAAGCTTGAGACTTCAATTACTTTGTTGATCGGAGGAGGGAAACTTATGGAAAAGCCAACTAAATAGTCTTGTCCACAGTTGTGGCATAGAGAGAAACTATAATCTTTATTAGATAGTGCAAATATTAAAAAAAAATAACCTTCTTAAAAATATGTTACGATTTTTCATTAGCCAAAAATAATTGCATATAATGATAAATAATACTCTGAAAGTATTTAATAGTTTTGTTATAAAGAGAGATTTAATTTGTAATTAATTAAGCAAAACTTGAGACTTACTTTGTTGATCGGAGGAGGGAAACTTACCGAAAAGCTATACACTGCTTAAAAATATCCCGAAAATAAATTATATGTTGTAAATACAAATTAAATGTGATGTGGGTTATATTTAAAATAAATTTAATTTGCACAAAAGTATTTTTTAACATATTTTTTTTTCTTAGAGATTTACGTGTAGATCTTAATAGATGGATTCATTGTCTAATATACTTAATGACATTTTTCATCAAACACTATTAAAAAACGTCACTAATTGTTAATTTTTAGCGACAATTTAAAAATTGTCACAAAAATGTCACTAATTATAAGTTTTAGCAACAGTTTAAAAAAATCATAAAAAAATGTCACTAATTTTTAACTTTCAGCAACAATTTGAAAAATTCGTCTCAGAAAAACGTCATTATATGTAAGTTATAGCAATAATTTATAAAAATTGTGATAAAAAAATGTCACCAATAATTAATTTTTATTGATATATATAAAAAAAATCACAAGAAAAATATTTTTAACGACGATTTTATTAAAATTTATTTTCAATAAAATTTGATATGAATTAAATTCACCTATTAAAACTCATCCTTTTCTTTTTTGAAGTGCCTCATGTTGTATACTGAGCAAGAATCCATTCCAACTCCACGCCGCTAGACGTGCACAAGCTCTACAGTGTTGCTTTTCAACCACAAAAGATGGGTACTTAAAAATTTAGGATAAATTACAAACATACTTTTTGAAATTTATTTAAAATACGAATTAATTTTTGTAATTTGAAAAATTATAAATATTTTCTTGTCAGAATTTTTTATTTAACAGAATACGAAAATGTATTGAATTTTTAAAAATATGAAAATTATAAATATTTTCTTGTAAAATTTTTTAAAAAAATTCACTGAGTACAACAAAATACGAAAATGTATTGAATTTTTATATATATATTTTTTTGATTTTTTTGATTTTTTTTTTTTTTGTATTCAAAGAATTTTTATTTAAAAAAAAATTTGCACAAATTTCATACTTTTTAAGTGTATCTAGATTAAGTGAATCAAAAAATAAAGTAAAAAAAATCTGATTAAAATATGAAAAAAAAAATCACTAATAACAAAAAATACTGATTAAAAATTCATAAAATTGTTTTTTAAAATTCCAAACTTTAAGTGTAAACTTTTCACATATTCTGTGGCCATTACCGACACATGATTAATTATTTGCACACATTATGTGTGCCAAGAGACTAGTGATTTTACTATCTAAAAACAAAAAGAAAATGGGACTAGTGTATTCGCACTTATTATGAGTGTCAAATGATCAAAGCATACCACTAAAATATACCACTAAATTATATTTTTAAAATTCTCACTTCCATGTAATTTCTTACGTGACGTAATAAATTTTATTAACTTTTAAATATAGTAAATCCCACATATACACCTAACTTTTGTTACATAAATACACATACAAACATAAACAAAGAGGTAAAATAAATCCGGTGATAAATATCATTTCTCTCATCCTATAAAGTAGGAGTATGGTGGAATTTGGGTGCTGTGGTAGTCTTCTTCTCTATAAACCAAAGACAAAGAGTGTGAATTGACATGAACATGAAGATGAAGAGTAGTAATTCAATATTGGGGTGTTCTCATTTGATGATGTTGATGAAGAACAATTTGCCTTATATATGCATGGTGATGTGCAATATTGTATACGCAGGGATGGTCTTGTTCTCAAAAGCTGTAATTTCTAAAGGAATGAACCCTTATATCTTTGGTGCTTATCGTCAAGCTTTTGCCACTCTTGCCTTGGCCCCTTTTGCTTTCTACCTTGAAAGGTCAGCTTTTATTTATATATTTATTTATATTTTATTTTTTCGTGTGTGTTTTGCTCACGATGGTGTTCAAAGTTTAAACAGAGTATATTTTTCATCCCACATATAGCAAGCGAATACTGAGCCTTTGTCGTGAAACACCTTCAAAAGGAACGCATTACCAAATTTTTTACTATTGCTCCACTCTTAAAATTCGAGTTTGTGATTTTGAGAGAGATTTTTTTTTCTCCGCTTTGTTTACGAGGGTGTCCAAAAGTTTCACCCGTATATGTAATTTTTCATTCCGTATATAGAAATTGATTACTAGGCCTATGTCCTCATAGCATCAAAAGGAACGAGGAAAGAAGTTTTTTTTACTATTGGTCCACTCTTAAAATTCAAATCCGTGACTTTGATGAGTTTTTTTAAAAAAAAAAATTTGCCCGCTTACTCACAATGTTGTCTAGAGTTTCACCTGAGTATATGTAATTTTCCATCCCTCATATATAGCTGGTGATTATTATCGGGCCTTTGTCCTTTTGATTGGGGATTTAGGAATGGATTTGGAAGAAAAAAAAAGGTGGGTAGAATGTAAATAAAATATTCTAATATTTCACTTAGTTTCACTCACTTTTTCTTTTTGCCCTTTCCAAATCTCTTCTCAAATTCCCCAACCAAAGACAGTATAAAAGAAAAAAAGACTTACGTGTAAGTCCTAATAGGTGGACTTATTATTCAATAGATATTATGATAATTAATGACGTTTTTTATTAAACACTATTAAATAACATCACTAATTGTCAATTTTGTAGCGGCAATTTAAAAATTATCACAAAAAATATCACTAATTATAAATTTTAGAGACAATTTAAAAAAATCGTCATAAAAAATGTCATTAATTTTCAAATTCCAGTGACAATTTGAAAAAATTGTCACAAAAAAAGTCAGTAATTATAATTTTTCCCGTCACTAATTGAAAAACGTCACAGAAAAAGTATTTTTAGCGATGGTTTTACCAGGACTTATTTTCAATAAGACTTGATAAAAATTAAATCCAACTATTAAGATTTATTGATAGTTTACCCTAAAAAGGGAATAGAGAAAAATGGTTTTTACTGTTGGTCCACTCTTAGATTGAATTAAGATTTAAAGAGAGATTTACGGAAGTCAAGAAAAATAATGAAATATAAACTAAATTTGTGTCATTTTTTTTCTTTATAAATCACTCCTCAAATTTTAAATCTAACTACAACCTTAAATCACTCCTCAAATTTGTCTTGTGAATTTATTTATTTATTAATTCTGCTGGTGCAGAAAGAACTCTGCTCCGCTATCATGCAGCATACTCTGCAAGATCTTGGTTTCATTGATTGGGTACGCGCAAGGTTAATACAGAAATATTTTGAATAAATTATATTTTATCCGTTTTATGTTTAGTTAGTTTTTTTATTTTGATCCTTAAATTATTATTTTTTTTCATTTTTGCCCTTTATATTTAAAGTTTTTTTTTTTTTTTCAATTTATTCCAAAATCAAATTTCTATTCAAAATTAGACATAAAATCTCACGTTATACATAAACCCAAATTTTAATATAATTTATGTCACATGTCAGGTAACGTGGTAATTAATGTCTAATTTTGAATAGAAGATAGTTTTAACAATAAATTGGAACAAACTTGAAACATGAAGGGTTAAAATAGGAAAAAAAAAACTTCAAAAGATAAAGTGAACCAAACATAAAAGAGACAAAATGTAATTTACCTAAATATTTTTAATATTTTAAAAATAAAACAAAACTGTTCTTTACCAAATAAATTGTTCTAAACATATATAAAATTATATATGATTTTTTATTTGTATAGTACTACTCTAATTATATTTAATGTTTTCAGGATTACACTGTGCCTAAATCTCTGGAATATTTCACTTAGTTACATCCCAGCAACATTTGCTTCTTCCACTTCTAATGCAATTCCTGCTATTACCTTTATCATGGCCATTCTTTTAAGGTACATCAAGAAATATAATCCTAAATAAAGTACATTTTAATTTTTATAATTTGATCCGAATTTTACTTTTTAGTCTTATTGTTTTAATTTGAACCACATTAATTACTTGTACTCCCATGTGACTTGCTTATGGTTAAAAAAAAATGTGATTTTTATTTTCATTTTGAGCATAAAGAACAAATTAAAACTCCAAGGACCAAATCGAATTTTGAAACAAAATATAGTATGAAAAGTATAATTTTACCCTAAACCAATAGTGTGTGTTAGGTTTTTATTCTTGGCAATCCCGTTTGACAAAACTCTTTTCAGTTGTATTTATTTTCGCACTTTTATTTCAGTAAGGCTACGAGTGTTTAGATGCGAATCCAACCCGAATTGTACCTTTCAGAGAAGTTTGTGATGCTAATGCTTTCAAGATTGTCACTTCGCTGATTATGATGGGGATCAAGCTGCCCGATCAGCTCGCGGGGGTCGAGGGGGTAGCGCCCCTTGGCGGGTCCGGGGCAGCGCCTAGACGGGGTCGAGGGGCAGCGCCCCCGAAGCAAAATGCAAAAATGCATTCCAAGTTGCCTGTTCGCTCGAGCGGACATTACCTTCTCGAGCGTAGAATCCTTGGTTCCAGCAGTTTTGGTCGCCTGTAAAAGTACTAAGATGTGTGATTTCGCGATCGAGCGGACCTCTATTATATCACGCGCATATTTTGCTGAAGCCGCTCGAGCGGGCTGTTAGGCGCTCGAGCGGAGATCGCGGGACAGATTCTATAAATTCGCGTGTTGGGTCAGATTTTAGGATTGCTTCTCCAGATCTTCTTTTTGGATTCTAAAGTTTATATCTGGGGATATTTTGCTAGTTTTCTTTGATGTTTTCATTGAGTATTCAACTCATAGTTTAAGAAGCATACATCAAAGGTTTGTTTGTTTATTCTACACAAAAGATAGAGTTGTTCTTTGGTGGATTCTGAAGAATTCGAGCTTGAAGCTTTGGTGGATTCCGGAGTGGCTCATCGTCAAGACAATTCCGAGGTGAAGACGGGGTTGGAAGAGACACATAGAGGTTGGTTCAATTCGGGCGTGGATTCGCGAGGTAATTGAGAGTATACCTGTGTAATTCCTTTATATCTTCTTAGTGGATTGTTTTGTGGCTGTTGCCCGTGGTTTTTTTTATCACAATTGGAGGTGTCCACTTGTGGTTTTTCCACGTTAAAATCGTTGTGTTGATTTGTCTTGATTGTTTGATTGGGATTGTTTTATTACTTAAAATTGATACATAATCACAAATTAACATCTAGAGGATTTTTAGATTTTTCAATTGGTATCAGAGCAGGTCGTTCTATTTTTTAAAAAGAAAATTTCTTTTAGAACGAGATCTTGTTTGATTTGTGATAATGGATACAATTCGTAAGGGAAATTCTATGGTTCGACCACCCCTACTTGATAGATCCAATTATTCTTTTTGGAAAGCTCGGATGAGATCGTTTTTAAAATCTATTGATGAAAACGTTTGGCAATCTGTCATGTATGGGTGGACTGAACCAATGATTACCATTGATGGAGTAACTTTCCCCAAACCAATTGATAAGTGGGACACAACTGATTACCAAAATAGTAGCTGGAATAGTAAAGCTATCAATTCTCTCTTTTGCGCTGTCACACCTGAAGAGTTTAGTTGTATTTGCAATTGTGAAGTCGCAAAAGAGACTTGGGATATCTTACAAACTATTCATGAGGGCACTCCTTCGATTAAACGCTCAAAACTTCAAAGGCTCACGTCTAGTTTTGAAAACCTTTCAATAAAGATAATTAGACCTTTGATGAATTTTATGCGAAGTTGAGTGATATTGTAAATTCCAGCTTCAATTTAGGTGAAAAAATTCCAGAATCCAAAGTTGTGGAAAAAATTTTGAGATCCTTGCCTGATCGGTTCCAACCAAAAGTTACGGTTATTGAGGAGGCTTAAGATGTTGCCAACCTCAAGCTGGATCAGTTGGTTGGAAATCTCCAAACTTATGAGGCACACAGGAATTTCAAAAAGAAACAAAAAGATATTGCTTTTAGTAGTGCTCATAAAGTTAGAGAGGATTCTGATGAGGATTGTGATATAGATTCCAAGATTATGGCTGCTTTTGTTAAACAATTTAAAAAATCTTTTTTGAAAAAGAATCCTAATATTTTGGAATCTACTCATACCCATAAATCTAAAGGCAAAGATGAACTCAAAATTAATTCTATAGCCAAGAAGGAGAAAGGAAAGATACAAGAGAACTCTGAAAGACTCCAATGCTATGAATGCCAAGGATTTGGCCACTTTGCTTCAGAATGCCCTACTCGTTTGAGGAAGAAGAAAGCCCTCGCTATCACTTGGGATGATGAATCAGAATCTGATAAAGATGAAAGTGACAATGAAGATCAAGGTGAAGAGGGACATAAACAATTTCTTGCTTTCATGGCGGCTTCTGAAGCTGAAGGACAAACAGATTCTCCAAAGAGGTCAGTTGAGAATATCACTGATGATGAATCCTCGGAGAGTGATCATGAAGAGCTTGAGCAAGCTTATGAAAAGTTGTATAAGGAGTTTCTTAACTTATTCAAATTAAATGACAAACTCACAAAGAAACTCAAAGCATGTAAAAGTGAGAATGTCAAATTTAAGGAGGAAATTTCCGAGGCTAGGATTAATGCCATCAAGATAGCTGATGATCGACAAGCTCTTTGTGCAAAACTGTTGACTTGTGAGACAGAGAGAAATGAGCTACAGGAAACCCATGCCATGTATGAAGAAAAGATTAAATCTCTCGAGATGTCACAAGTTGCTTTGGAAGAACTAATGATCAAGAAAGAGGAAGAGTTAAAGTGCGCTATGGCTACCATTGGTCTTTGGAACAGAGGATCAAAGACTTTGGACAATATCATTGGGTCTCAACAAATTTGTCCTGACAAGTGTGGCATTGGCTTTGGTGGAAAGAAAGAGCAAAAACAGAGTGCTTCAACATCTCATGATACAAGAACTCAAGGAAAGGGAGAACAAAAAATTCAACATAAGGATGGATTTCTCAAACTTCCTAGAGTTAGTAAGGTAAAAGAAAAGAAGGTACACCCTGTTTTTATTTGTCATCATTGTGGTATGCATAGTCATATTCTCCCTTATTGTTATAAGTTTCATAGGAGAGTGTCTCATAAAGATGGAAGAAATTCTAACATCTCATGGGGTAAGAGACACTTCATTGGTCGTAAGGAGGTTAAGGGTCATAATAGACCTCGTTATTTTGATTTGCTTGAGACCAATCGTGAATAAAGGTTTTGTTTGTCTAGTCTTAGGAATAGGAAGTTGGAAACCAAGTCGAGATGGGTTCTCATTGAAAGCAAAAGGAACCCCAACGTCAAGACACCACCTAAGAACCGCAATGCTCACAACTTTGTTTATACTAAAGCGGTTTGGGTGAGAAAACTCGATTTGTGTTAATTTGTTTATTTATTTTAGTTTTTGGGTTTCTGTGTTTTTTTTTGTCTTTACATGTGTGCTTGTTCATTTTTTTGTCTTGCTTTATTTTTGGGGAAAAAAAAATCCCCAAAAAGATTTTCTTAGTATGGTTTTGCAAGTTTGAAATTTTTGAGTGGTCCTTGGTGCATATTGGAATTGATGAGAATATCCATTACATGTTAATATATGTGTACTTTCTGTGGTCATTACTTGTTTTGGTGTGTGTGTTTTTTGATTAGTATGTCTCATTCTGTACACACTCTTGGATTAGTAAATTTTGGAGTCTTCGGCCTTAGTGATTATTTTTTCTCTATGGACTTCTGTCATTGATCTTTTGCGTTTCTAGAGGAATTGACCTATACTAGCATGTCATGGGTGATGTTGAGTCTCTTAACCACCTACCATCTTTTTGCATCTCCATGGCTTTCCCCTCTATTCTTTGTAGTCTAGCCATGAGGAAAAGGCTACCTCAGAGTCATCAACCAGGCCATCCTTATTATATCCATGCTTCTTTGGTTCGGTTTCCATACTCTTGAGCGTGTCAGCCGCTAGTGATTGTGCAAAAGAAAAAGAAAAAGAAAAAGAAAAAGAAAAAATATGCACAAGAAAGAAAAGAAAAAAATGTGCAAAAGAAAGAAAAGAAAAAGTGTGTGAAAAAAAAAAGAAAAAGATTCATTGATTGAAGGGGAGCCTCGCCTTTACTCACCAAATACCCCTTGATTCCTAGTGGTTTGACTTTTCTTTGTTGTGCTTAGATTCTCTTGTCGGAGGTCCAGCTTTTATATCACTACTAGGATTGAATTTAGTGTTTGTCGAACTCCAAGAGTCACACACACACTTTTATCATGGGATCTATGCTTTTCACATAATGCATCACTTTCTTTCATAAGGGATTTTCTACAGACTGTGCACATGGTGTTTACTAGTAATCGTGCTTCTTGGATAATCTTGTGTGTTTTAAGGTACAAATCTGAAATTCCTTGCTTGCTCCACCATATTATTTTTGTCATTTTTTCTTCTTGTTCAATGTTTTCAGTGTTTGTGGTTGCTTTTAGTGAGGGGGAGTTTGGTTCATCTTGACTTGGGTTGGTTTATGATCTTGCTTTTGTTGTTTGAGAGTTGTTTTTCATGAGTCTTAGTTTTCATCTATTCATGTTTTCCACCTCATGTTTCAAGATAATCGTGTCATATGTTTATTGCTTTTTCATATACTCTTGTGGGACTAATAGTTGTTTTGGAGATTGTGGCACTAATAACTGTTTTGCAGATCATGACCTTGAGAAAGATGTTGGCTTTTGTTGGCTGTAATGGGTTGGGGTGATTAGGATTTTATTTGTTAGGTGTGTTTTGTCACGGCATTGCCAAATGAGGAGATTGTTAGGTTTTTATTCTTGGCAATTCCGTTTGACAAAACTCCTTTCAGTTGTATTTATTTTCGCACTTTTATTTTAGTGAGGCTATGAGTGTTTAGATGCGAATCCAACCCGAATTGTGCCTTTAAGAGAAGTTTGTGATGCTAATGCTTTCAAGATTGCCACTTCGCTGATTATGATGGGGATTGAGTTGCATGGTCAGCTCGCGGGGGTCCAGGGGGTAGCGCCCCTTGGCGGGTCCGGGGCAGCGCCCCCGAAGCAAAATGCAAAAATGCATTCCAAGTTGCCTGTCCGCTCGAGCGGACATTACCCGCTCGAGCATAGAATCCTTGGTTCCAGCAGTTTTGGTCGCCTGTAAAAGTACTGAGATGTGTGATTTCACGCTTGAGCGGGTTCTCTAGCGCTCAAGCGGACCTCTGTTATATCACGCGCATATTTTGTTGAAGCCGCTCGAGCGGGCTGTTGGGCGCTCGAGCGGAGATCGCGGGACAGATTCTATAAATTCGCGTGTTGGGTCAGATTTTAGGATTACTTTTCCTGATCTTCTTTTTGGATTCTAAAGTTTATATATGGGGATATTTTGCTAGTTTTCTTTGATGTTTTCATTGAGTATTCAACTCATGGTTTAAGAAGCATACATCAAAGGTTTGTTTGTTTATTCTACACAAAAGAGAGAGTTGTTCTTCGGTGGATTCTGAAGAATTCGAGCCTGAAGCTTTGGTGGATTTCGGAGTGGCTCATCGTCAAGACAATTCCGAGGTGAAGACAGGGTTGGAAGAGACATATAGAGGTTGGTTCAATTCGAGCATGGATCCACTAGGTAATTGAGAGTATACCTGCGCAATTCCTTTATATCTTCTTAGTGGATTATTTTGTGGTTGTTGCCCGTGGTTTTTTTTATCACAATTGGAGGTGTCCAATTGTGGTTTTTCCACGTTAAAATCGTTGTGTCGATTTATCTTGATTGTTTGATTGGGATTGTTTTATTGCTTAAAATTGATACATAATCACAAATCAACATCTAGAGGATTTCTAGATTTTTTCAAAAGTGAAACAAAGTCTTCAATGGACTTTGCATGAATCTTATTAATATCCATTACATGAATAGAATGGAAATATATCTATTTCGTGATCAATAGTTGTGAAAGAGCCACATCAACATATTTTTATTTTAAATTCAAAAGTAATTAAGGGTGATTTTGAAATTCAAATTGATGTAACAATTATAGACCACTTGATTTTGGATTTCAATGATATATTGCGACTTTATGCATGAAATGAAAGTCTCAATTCCAATCATGTAAATGATAGAATATAAATCATGCTAAACCAAGATCTGTGAAAAATTTAGAAAACCCCTAGATGTTGATTTGTGATTATGTATCAATTTTAAGCAGAATATAACAATCCCAATCAAACAATCAAACAATCAAGACAAAGAGACACAGTGATTTAACGTGGAAAAAACCACAATTGGACACCTCCAACTGTGATCAAAAAACCACGGGCAACAGCAACAAGACAATCCACTAAGAAGAATTAAAGGAATTACACAGGTATACTCTCAATTACCTAGCGAATCCACAACGCCTAATTGAACCAACCTCTATGTGCCTCTTCCAACCCCATCTTCACCACGGAATTGTCTTTCTGATGAGCCACTCCGGATTCCACCAAAGCTTCAGGCTCGAACTCTTCAGAATCCACAACTGAAGAACAACACTCTCTTTTGTAGAACAAAACACAACCTTTGATGTACTCTCTTTAAACCATGAGTTGAATACTCTATAAAAACATCAAAGAAAACTCAGGACACAGACAAAGCACGTTTGGATCTGGAGGACATGCGAATACGAAAGGAGTTACACTTGATAAGGCATGCGAATGGCTCTTTCGAGAAGCCTCCGGCATTCTACACATTGTCCCTGGCAGAGAGACAAGGGTTTTATGATTTCTTGAAATCGATTAAGTATCCTGATGGCTATGCTGCAAATGTATCCAACTGTGTCACTGCGAATGGTGGTAAGTTAGTTGGCCTTAAGAGTTATGACTGTCATGTCCTTCTACAACGTCTTCTTCCCATTGGGATGCGAGGATACCTTCCTACCGAGATTGGGACCACATTGTTTGAGTTGGGAACTTTTTTCAAACAGTTGTGCTCAAAGACATTGCGGGTCACTGATTTGGAGCAATTGCAAGAACAAATAGTACTTATACTTTGTAAGCTTGAGAAGATTTTTCCTCCTGCTTTTTTTGATGTCATGGTCCACTTGGCAATTCATTTGCCTTATGAGGCTATGCTTGGAGGGCCTGTGCAATATCGATGGATGTATCCTATCGAGAGGTATAACTACGAGTCAGAACTTTTTTCATTTAAATATAGTTCAATATGACCATATTGACGATCAGGCTAATGTTTACATGTAGGATGCTTGGACTTCTTAAAGGATTTATGGGCAATAAATCTCGGCCAAAAGGTTTCATTAAGGAGGGCTACATATCAAAAGAGTGTACGATGTTTTGTTCAATGTATTTGGATGGAGTTGAAACGGTCTTTAACCGGGAAGAAAGGAACTACGATGGAGGTGACAATGGGCCGGGGTTGGCAATTTTCACTCAAAATGTTCGTCCTTTTGGTCAACTCACAAGGGAAATTGATGTGTCCGTAACTGACCGCGAATTGGCTCATTGGTTTGTCCTACACAATAGTTTGGAAGTTGACGAATATCTAGAGTACGATTCCTCATCATACATGCAACATACATCTTGTACACGGTTTTTTTTTTTTTTTTCGAAGTCTTCATTATTCCAATTACTTATGAATTACATTGTATTAAGTAGGGAACACAAGCTCGTGTTGCAACAAACATATGGAAGTGATTGCAACATTGCAACGCGACAATGCAAAGAATTTCCTAAATGGTTCAAAGATCGCGTAAGCTGAAGCTCGTTATTGTATAGTTTGCAAATAATGTTACATTATTCTAAGTTTGAATTAACTTGACATACTTTCTTCTGTAGATGAACCAACTGCGAAATCAAAAGTCACCCGAAGCAACCGATGAGATGTGGTCATTAGCCAATGGACCTAATGCCTTAGTGAACACATATTCGGGATGCATTGCTAATGGCGTCCGATTCCATACTATCGACCGTGATAACCGTCGTAAATGCCAAAATAGTGGGTTGGTAGTGGAAGGCGACCACGAAGGCCAATTGATAAAGTTCTACGGCTACCTTTGTAAAGTGTGGGAGCTGACATATTTGTTTGGACATCGGGTTGTTTTGTTCCAATGTGAATGGTATAACACCGGTAGTAGTCGAACTTTGCGTGTCGAACCACATGTGACAACCGTTGATGTAAGAAGTCGATGGTATAAAGATGACTCGTTTGTGTTCCCAAGCCAAGTTCAACAAGTTTTCTATGTTCCTGATACGAATTTAGGGCCGAATTGGCGAGTCGTAGAAAAGTTTCAACATCGACGACTTTGGGATGTGCCAGAAGTAGATGTGCCAGAATTTGATGACGTCTTGCAAGAAGATGAGACCACTACTGTTGTACCGACTGACCCTATTGATGATGATGCTGTTTTGCTTCGGAATGACATTGAACCTGAAATAATTTCAATGGAAGTTTCGCATACCAAAAAGCGTGTACAACCCGAGGGTGTTATGGATGATGCTTTCATTTGTGATGACGATGATGAACTAACAATCACGGGTGATGACGAAGAAGAAGATGAGATAGAAACTGATTTTGATACAGATACGGACCTAGAGTTTTAACTCACTTTGTGGTAAAATTACTTTATGTGTTCTCTAAGTACATTGTTGATGAACTTTGTTTGTTTGTCTGTCTTGTTTTGTTGATGTGATGGGGGGCTTTAAGCGATCTTGTTAGAATTTGCCAAGAAAAAATGAAGAACCTGGCTTCGAGCTCGCTGAAGATCCTGCTCCAACTGAGAGAGCTTTATCCTACTTGACTGTAGCTGCTGTACATAGGCCTATATATATATATATAGAGAGAGAGAGAGAGATAAGTTGGTATAGATCCCAAAACTATGAAGATTGTAGTATAAGTTTTAGACAAGTAATGATCATTTGGAGGACTAGTTTATATCATTATCTGCACATTTAATCTGGAAAACTGTTTTTTGAAAACACTATAACAAAAAAACTTAGTAATTGATTTGTTTAAAACAACCCAAAACAGTGTAATGGAAAGACAAATTTTTTTGTTATTTTAAGCAATGAAAAATGTGTTTTATTTATTTGTATAAGATAGGTGAATAAAATCATACTGGGTCCATAGGAATATAGGGTTTGATGTCTAATTCCAAGATAAGGTGTAAAAGGACTTGAATGTACAGTTTGGAGATTGATGTTGCTGTTGATGTTGTTGGGCTTGTGGAATCTAGTTTTCAAATGGGTATTTTATAAAGTCATCATAACCACCCCAAAGACTTCTTCATTTTTCGAATGGGTATTCGAGATACCCATTTGAATAATTAGTATTGAAATGGGTATTTGAAATGGGTATTTTATAAAATCATCATAACCACCCTAAAATTATTCAAATGACTTCTTCATTCTTTGTTTATTCAGTAAATTAGTTTTAAATGTGAGTAGACTAATTATGTCTTGTTTTGTTTTTTTTGTTCTTGTTCTTCTTCATCTTCTTCTTCTTCTTGTTTGGACCCCAATTTCCCAACTACATTCATATTCTATGGACTTAATACCCTTGTAATTAACTTCCTATACAATTTGTATGAACTTTGGCAGAAAATTGAAAAGCAAATTCATAGTGAAGTCAGATTTATGTATGTTTGCTGCTGTTTACTCATCTGCTGGCAGATTTACTGAAGCAAATTCATAGTGAATCATAGTGAATCTGCTGGTTAATCTTGATAAGTTTTTTTGGTCTGTCTCTGGCTGCTGTCGCTGGTTGTTAATCTTGTCAATCTGCTGGTTGCTTAATCTGCTGGTTAATCTGAGTTGGGATGTTTCTATTCATGGTTAGTCTGCTGGTTACTTAATACAAGGCTCCAACTGGTTACTTATGTAGGTACCATGGTTCCTGGTATGAAGACGGGGCGGCGGAAGACAGCAACAAGTGGCAACGTATTATCAGGCTCTGAAGCATGTCCACCAGCAGTTATTGGCACCCCGTTGACGTTATCTGATGAGACACAGCCACCAGATGATACACAAACAGTGGTGGAGGAGACGCAGCCAGGTGGCGTGGGTAAGAGCATTTCACTTACTTCGTTACAAATTCTTTTTTCCTTTTTCCTGGGCTGCCTAAGTCAGGTCTTTAAGGCAATGAGAACCCCATAAACAGGAAGAAAAACAAAGAAAATGTGAATGCCTTGTTAACCTGATTGGTAAGGAATGCCTTTGTTAATTTGTAGGTTAATCTGTCTGTTAATCTTGTTAGTCAATGTGAATGCCTTAGTTGGTTCAATAAGTGGGAGTGTATGAAGACCTAGTAGTCAATAACTGTTAGTGTAATCGCAATTATAGCTACCAGAAAAATGAAGTCATGGAATCTAATTTGCCACATGAGGTCGATCACTTTTCCAAAAACAGGGGTCAGGATGATGCTACACATACGGAGACAGATGAAAATGGAGATGAAGGTAGTGGAAGGTGGTAAATCTGCAGAGGAGGATGACGAGGATGATGTGGCAAAAAGTGTTGAAGGGTCAATCAATGGAAATCACACAGTGGAAGGGTTGTCAGATGATGTAGATGGAGGTAATGATTGTATGCCTGGTTCAGTGGTTAAAGAAACTGAGTGTGCTCTAGGGAAACCAAACGTTGGGGGCTGCACTAATGAAATAGGGGTGGTGCAGGTGGTCTGTTCAAGAATAGTGGAGAATGGGGGGTCTCAAGAGGTCGATGATCAGATTTGCACTATTGGCTATATGAATAGTTTGAATGGATTAGAGTGTGGCAGGCCCAATATCAATTTAGAAGTTGTGTTAAATGGAGCCCAATTTGAGCCTATGACTAATAGGCCAAGGAGGGTGGTTAATTCAAATTTGAGTGACTGTATAGCCCAGTCCAAGGCTTTGTCTACAGTGGAGAACTCAGCCTTCAAGGATAAACAACAGAGGGATGGCCCATTGCAGAGGGCTACTGCTAGAACAATGAGAAAGGACGATCTAAAGATGAAAGGCATTGAACAGAGGAAAGGAAGAAGGAGGAAGGGTGCACATTCAAACCAGAATGGGCTGTTATTTAATAATTTTCTAAAAAATAGGGCAATACTTAGAGCGGCAACAGCAACCATATTGTTATCAGTGTCTCAAAGTAGCAATTCAAAAAATACAAGAAAGTTGCTTAATGAAGCGTAAGCAACGATTGAGATGGTGAAATTATTAGGGTTAAACAGTGAAGAGAAAGAAGATGAAATGGTGAGAAGAATAGTTGAGTTTGAGGAAAAAGATTTGGAAAAAGTTGAAGGGAGGGGTGAGATGGCTTAAGCTGTTGGGATCATAAAGGAGAGTAGGAGCTGTGATGTTGGTGTTAATGAAGATTTGTTGGTTTTATTGCAGCTGGGGTTTTTCATGGGCTGAGGGGGCTGCTTTCTGCCTGCTATCACTGTTCTGGATCTGTGTTGGAGTGCTGGTGGTGATTTTCTGGTGTTTGATCTTGATCAGTATAATGGGTTGGGTTGTAATGTGGAGTCTGCTACGTCTTGCTGCTGCTGTTGGTTGATCTTGATCAGTGCTGGTGTTTGCTGCTGCTGTTGTGGAGTCTGCAATGGCCTGCTGTGCAGGCCTGGTGTCTGCTTTTTCTTCATTAATAAATTTCCTTTTCTTGGCTGTTTAAAAGAAAATAAAAATATGAACTGTGGAAAAACAAAATTCATTACAGAAATATATGGCTCCCAACTGAGTCATGATATAGTTATGGATTATCATGCATGAGTTGGAAAGAAAGAAAAACTAGACATTATAGTTATTTTTGGTTTGACCTTTGTGCCTGAATAGGACAATTTCACAAAGTTATAGTAATTTAATCTGATTCTCAATTTTTGAACTCATGTCTAATTAAACAATCAACAAGGCAATTGCTATCCTCTGGAAATTTATTGAATCCGTGACGATTTTTGGGGATTGATCCCTTCCCAAGAAGGATCAGTTGACAAATTGGTTTTGAGACCAATTCTAACTCTATTTCTAACTCTGCTGGTGCTGCGTATTGTCTGCTACTACATGGTCCTCTCAGCTTTCAGTCGATTGGTCCTCTGTGTCTTTGTCCTGTCAGTAGTTTGGTTTGTGTTAGCTTGTTGTTTGCTATCTAATGTCTGCTCCTGATTTGTTTGTATCAGAGTTAAAGTTGTGCAGTAGGGGTGTTGGCACTATGCCTCAGAGCTGTTTGGTCTGTTTTGATGCTGGATTGGTAAAGTTCTGAGCATAGAACTTTGTTTGGTCTGTTTGGGAAATGTATAAAGAGGTGACTGAAGCAGGAGATCGGATCTGCTAAGGGAGTGTTAATCTGCTGTGCTGGGCACTATGCCTCAGAGCTTGCATAACAAATTTTTGTTAACCATAAGAATGGTCCTAGGATGACTACTTAAACCTCAGAGGTTTTAGCAATTATGTACTGCAATATCTGCTGAATTTAAAAAAAAAAAAAAAACTAACAAGAACTTCCAACCTGATCATATGCAATATCTGCTGAATTTCATCATCACATTTCAACAATTATGTACAGCATTAGGGAATGTGTAGTGTCTATTAACTGTACACGGGTGGCCATTACGAACAATATTTGAACTGGTACAATTATATGAAGTGACGTTCAAGGTATGATTATATAATGCGACCTAGACCTATGACTCTAGCTAAAGTCTTATGTCGGCTATTACTTTAGGCTAGCAATCAGGAAAATCAGATGATTTTGGAACACTGTGTTCCCAACTAGGCTGCATAATTTTTAACAAAGGCACTCTGTGTTCCCAAGTAAGGCACACTGTTTAAACATATGTTTTTAAACATAAAGTTCATTGATTTAGTTGAGTTCTAAACTTAAAAGAAACCAAGGGTTGTACACTTGTAATTAACGATATTAGTTTCATAGTCAGTTATTGTCTTCGCTGTAATTAAGATGCTTATATGTGTTTATGTATTTTTTTTTTTAAATTGAAGCAACAAGCAATACTCGAACATCTTTCCTTAAATCTGTTTGTAATTTGTGGCGTGCTTCCCCTTTTGTAGCAGGGCGAAAAAGAGCAACTCGTGTACGAGGACGTACATTGGGCAAAGGAGTGCAAAAAAGAATAGCAAGGAAAAAAGGAGAGAAATTACATGTGTATGTCAATCGGGTGTTGAACGCAATCACAGGAGGGAATGCAACCCCAGCGACGAATGAGTTGGGATTGCAAATTAGACGGTTGTGCCCTCTTCAGAGCGTGAAGTCATGGACGAAAATCAATGAAAGTACCAAAGATGCGGTCATCCAAGCGGTGCTAGTACGAGATTTATCTTCCCATAATGTCGTTATTAAGTTATTTGTAATTGCTTAAATTAATTGATGTAGTAATTGTCTTATTATGTTTGTAGGACAAGTTTGTTATCGGGGATGATTTTGATAATGATGAACAAGCTCAACAAATTCTTGATAGAAAGGCATATTTGCTATACAAGGATTGGAGGTACAATCTAAAGCAAGAGTTCCTCGAACTTGAGGAAAAGGGTGTTGATGACCCGTATAGTCATCCGCCTAGTGGAGTGAGCTTGGATGACTGGAGATATCTTATTGATGTTGCTTGGAAAGACGAATCTCACTTGGTAACAAATTAATTAGAAACCCCATTCTTGAAATTCATTGATGTCAATATGAATAAAAATTCTAACAAAATTGGTTTATGTTTGTAATTTTTTTTTTCTTGTTAGAAACGCTCTAAAGCTGGTAAAGCAAATAGGGCTATGCTCCCGTACAATCATACAAGTGGATCGCGATCATTTCCTATAGCAATGTCGCTTATGGTGAGAAGTAGTTATTTGTTTAGTAATATAATGGATGATTGATTCTTCTTCATTTTGAATATTACTATGTAGTACTTCATCAATGGAAATTTTTGAAACATAATAGGCAAATGAGGATGGACAAATAGATTTCCCTGAATTTTATAAGAAATCACACAAGTCCAAGAAGACGGGAGACTGGATTGACCCCAAATGTGGTGAGCTACATGTGAGTATTGAATGTTGAAACCAATTTTGTTGTGTATCAATTACTAAAGTTGTTTTCAATTCCTTCAACTATCTTGACTTTCTTATTTTTTTGCCATGATAGGATGATATGGTCAATCTACAAGTCGTAGCCACCGATGCGGGGTTGCCATTGACCCACGAAGAACTATCAAGGCAAGTGCTCGGGGCAAAAAAAAATTACTTGCGTGGATGTGGGATAGGCCCACAACCCTCTTCAACAGCTTCGAATGTGGCACGAGCACGTGACAAACATATGGAGTCAATGAGAACGGAATTGGAGGCTCTTCGTGAGGAGCGTGAAAGAGATCACGAGGAGTTGCTGAAGGAGACTGATTTCCATAAGACAGCATGGAATTCCAACAAAATTAAAAAAAATATATATATAAACAAAAATGATGACCTTTTTTTTATGTGGAATTTACTTTTGTTTTTTATGTGAACTGACTCCGTCCAAGTCCATGCTGGCAAATAGTTGGCTATAGTCTGAATAACAAAATTCTTCGTATTCTTCAGTAGAAGTTAACATTTGTCATGTCAAGACAGCCTGTTCTACGGGCAGACTTATGAGTATCTGTTCATGTCAACAAACATCCAGACGCTAGAATAACTATCTTACCACGGCATTGAGCTAGAGGAATGAATTTATAAATGTTCTAATTAAGTGCCATATGAGCAATTTCACTTCTCAATTTATTCAACCAACTCAGATGACAGCTACGCTGGGAGTTGGCGTCAAAAACGCCGTAAACGTAGCCGAAAAAACTCAGTTTATTACAAGGGACACAACTAGTTAAATTGGCAGGTCTGTTTGCTTGCATAACACAATTTTGTTAGAGATGTCTTGCCACATATCTAAAAACTATTCAGCAAGTCTGGATTGTCTCGAGACTTACTTCAAACCAAACCATTAATGTGACTAAAAACTTTATGTGTGCATCAATGTTGATCCATCTTTATTAACTAGTTAAAAAGATAAAAGATAATACGTTTGGTGTGTTTGGTGATTCTTCATTTGTTGAGAGTACTAGGTAAACAATAATACCTAGATTCTTGGGACTACTAGGTAAACAATAATACATAGATTCTTGGTACTACATAGTTATCAGTAGTTATTACTTCTGGAAGAATAAAAGATCTTTGTTACAGCTGAAATAAAAGCACAAATAAAGAAGTTTCAGGCCATAACAATACAATCTGAAATTCATATGAGCCTTCTTCGTAAGTCAACCAACCCAACCAAATTTGACAAAGGTATATGGTCATTACACTAGCCTATAGCTGATACAACTATATATTACCTGCAAAAATCGTCAAATAGTATCCAAATGAACCATATGGATGTGAAACTTCTCCAAAATTCCCAATTCTGGGGAATATCATCATTTTGCAGCCTTCTCAGCTGGTATATGCAACACATGGTTAATATATACAGTGATAAATTACATTGATGGTCTATATGTTTTGGCCCTTATATTATTTTGATCCTTATAAATTTAATGTACTCGATTTTGATCATGAATTTATGCTTTTGTGTTAGTTTAGTCTAATTGATAACAACTGTGTGACGATCCTCACATGTATATTAATTTATTCAGAGAATTTGCCTAATTATGTGTTTAAATTTTGTGCATATATGTTTGCTTATGGAATTTTGTTAGAACATTTACTTAAGTATACTTTTTGTTGAGAATTTTTGTTTACAATGGAACTAATGGGTGACATTTTTTTTGTGTAGATGGCTTTTGGCATTGACATGTGGATCTTCTATTTTTTTTGTCCGAAAGAAAATTCACATTTTTGCAAAGTTGGAAAGTTTTTTGTCGTCCCTAGCTTTTTGTGTGGAAATTGGATGAATCATACATATATTTTTTGGCGGGGTACATAGTAGTTTTGGAACTTGTGTTAATTGCTCTGGTGGTATGTATAGATTACCTTTTGTCGTGGTACATATTACCATGGTAATTTGTACCATGTCAAATGGTCATTACAATGCATAGTATAGTAACAATGTTTTGTGTATAGAGGACATTGTTTTGGTAACACAGTTGGAATGTATGACGTTAATATTTGTAATTGGAATATGTTAGTTGGTTTGTATATATAAGTTAACATTGTAAGGTATTATTTTTGGTTTGATGGTTGTGAGTGAAACATGCATTACGAAATAGGTGATAATTTACATATTGATTTGTTTGTATTATAGGTTATGGTGGATATGTTTGTATTATAGGTTGTGGTGGATATATACAGGTTTTGAAAAAAAATAAAAAATGATATTTTTGGTGACAAAAAAATTGGTAGCCAAAAAAAATAAATAAATCTTTTGCCGACTAAATATTTAGTAGCTAAAACGAATAGAAAATAGTTTTGGTGACTAATTGTTTTTGTAGCTAAAAACTGAAAACAGTTTTGGCTACTAAAGCCTGTAGTAGCTAAACTAGAAGAACCTTTCCCCGACAAAATCTTTAGTAGCTAAAAATGACACTATTGGCGACTATTAATTTTGTCGCTATATGTAATTGAACTTTTTGGCGACAACAGTTTAGTAGCCGAAGATGTGAGTTAATAGACTTGCTTCACCCTTTCGGCGACTAATATCTTAGTCGCTAATATGACTCATCAGCGACTAAAGTAGCGTTAGTCGGTAATAGCTTCTTCTTTTGCCTACTAAAAATTAGTCGGCATTATGTTGGATTTTTAGCGACTAAATCCTTGTTTGTCTCTAATTGCTGCCCCTTTTGGCTACTAACAGATTAGTCACCAATTCTGTTGGATTTTTAGCGACTAAAACAGATTTTAGTCGCCAATACCTTCGCCGACAATGTATCTGCGACAAAGCCAGCGACCAAAGTTTTTGGTCAGCAAATATTTTCGGCGACTAAAATCTAGGCTTTTGGCGACTAAAACATTAGTCGCCAAAAGTGTATTTTTTTGTAGTGTATGCAACTTTGGTATAGTTTTTTTATCCTTGCAAATTTAAAAAGACAACGTTGGGAAAATAAAAAGGTACCGTTAGAGTTTGAAAGAGTTAATAAAAAATATATAAAATGTGTGGTTTTAGTTTTTCTTATTTCATATATGGGTGATAATTTTTTTTTTAAATCCATAAATTATGGAACAGTATTCATTATTTAAAATTTTATTTATTGATGGGCAAGTCAATTAAATGTTTTTAATTTTTTACAAATAAAAAAAATTGAAAAATTTGTTTAAGAAATTAAAAAAAAAGGCCAAATCATAAAAAACAATATAAGACGTCATATTCTATTAAAAAAACTCATAACTTTATTATCAATTTACATATATCAAAAATAATAATAATAACAATATAAAAAATACACAAACATCCACCAAAAAAATAAAAATAAATTTTCAAATTAACTTCCAAAACAAAGATAGTTAAACAGATATATATATATATATATATATATATATTATCAATTTGGTTGGAAAAAAAAAAGTCATATAGAGAAAAAAAATACTCACACGAAAATAGAAATTTACAAAAAAAAAAAAAAAAAAAAAAAAAAAAAAAAAAAAAAACACAAACAAACAAACAAACAAATTTGAAATAAGTTTAGACTATTGATAAAGAGAGAGAGATTAGTATTTGCCTCATTACATTTGGAGAGGAGTTGGCTGGGGTGGAAAAAAAAAATCAAATATTGACTATTCTAAAAAGAGAATTGTATTGAATTTTTAATTTGATTGGGTTTTTAAAATTTTAGGATTTGTATTATTTTCGGAAAGGATGAGGTGGCTTACCATATTATTTTGAATTTTAAAATTTAAAATCATAGATAATTAATGCATTTATTGTTTCTTTATCTGAATTGTTTTGATCAATATTATTTTTGAAAAGAGTGAGGGTGACTTATCATATTGTTTTGAAATTTAAAATTCAAAATTATAGATAATTAGAGTTTTTTTTTTTTTTTTGACTTAAGGAACTAACCAATAGAGTTTTTTTTTTTCCTTTAAAAATTAACAAATCAACAAAATTAGTTTGGGAGTTTGGAGCTCCCACAATCAATGTTCTTAAAAAGTCCCTTTTCCTTGTATATATAGATGTCATTTTGTGATTCATTTTTCTAATTTTTTGATTTGTTTTTGAGATGGGAATGGAAAAGTGAGGTATGGAAGATTCTTTTAGGGGATTGATTTTTTTGTGTGGTTTTCTAGTGTTACATTGGAGTGTTGTTATATTAGAGTGTTACATTTGAAAAAAGTACACTAAAGAATTTTTGTGTGTTACATTGATTGGAATGTTACGTTTGACAAAAATACATTAAGAATTTTTTTTTTAAATGTTACATTGTCACGTCTGAGAAAAGAGGAGTTCTTTTAGTGTGTTATATTAGAGTGTTACAACTGGAAAAATATATTAAAGAGTTTTTGTGTGTTACATTGATTAGAGTATTACATTGAAAAAATTACGCTAAAGAGTTTTTTTTTTGAAATGTTATGTTGTTACGTTTGAAAAAAGTACATTAATGAGTTTTTTAGTATGTTACATTGGAGTGTTACGTTTGGAAAAAGCATACTAAGGAGTTTTTGTGTGTTACATTGATTGTAGTATTACATTAGGAAAAAAGTACACTAAGGAGTTTCTTTCTTTCTTTTTTTTTTTCTTTTTTTTTTCAAATGCTACGTTATTACGTTTGAAAAAAGTATACTAAAAAGTTTTTTAGTATGTTACATTGGAATGTTACATTTTTTGAGCGTTACGTTTGAAAAAATATATTAATGAAATTTTTTTTTTTTTGAAGTGTTGTGTTAAGTAATTTGAACATTATGATAAAACCCATGTTTGTCTCTCAACACATAATACACACGCATTTATGCTTAGCGCTTTATGTAATTCATACTAGAATGAGACCTTTGGGTTTATACGGAAAAAAAAAAAAAATCAAACAGTTCATAAAATCACTATTTAAAATTTATTAATGCTCCATCTGAAAAAAAAAATAATTTATAAATGCATTTAACATTACTACTGCCTCCTACCAGGATACAGGACTCCGGTATTGGAGTCCCGCATTGACCAATGAAACCCCAGATTTTGACTTAACAAAACAAAGCCTACGAGATTTCAAATTTTGAATTTTTGAAATCCTCACTCACAATGCTATAGAGACTAATCCAAAAATTCAAATTCTTTAGAAAATTCTCGCTATTTCAATTTCTACATGGAGAAGTCATGAGATATCTATTACATAGTATAGCAATTCCGGTTTTGACCCGTCTCTTGTTGTATTTCACACTCGGGTTGTTTGGTTTTGAATGATGTTTTACACCTTGTTTCCTTTGTCTTCCCTCTATTTTGATTTTCGGATTGAAATTTTGTGTGTTTGGAACAAGTTGGTTGCTTGTTTTTCCAAACCTTTGTTGCCCAGATTTTGGCTCTTCCGCTCGAGCGGGCATTTTTGCGCTCGAGCAGGCTTCACAAATTTTGCTCCTCCACTCGAGCGGCCTTTCTTGCACTTGAGCGAGATTTGACGACTTTCAGTATTTTTGTCAAACCTGCAAATACTAGGAGGATCCATTTGACGCTCAAGCGGCGTTTCCTATGCACAAGCGGCCCTTCTTGCGCTCGAGCGAAACAAATCTTTGTGTCTGACGCTCGAGCATGAAACTCTCCGCTTGAGCGGACTACACGTATATCAGATCACGAAAAGCACTTTTTACATTACTTTTTCAGATCTATCCATCTAAAAACACTAAAGTGAGACCCTCTCTCTCTAAAATACTCGCTCTCTCTAGATTTCCACCTAGATCTAGTGGTCTCTCAACCCTTGTGCCTTCATTAAAAAGGTAGAGCTCCTCAAGCTCTTCACTTTGATCCGAGTAGAAGTTGGTTTCGTCATTTTTGAAGTTCCATCCTTGCTTGGCTTGTCTTCTCTCTTTGAGGTAGAAATTTTCTACACTTTGTTATGGTTTTTAACTTAGTTATTTGTGGTTGTTTAACAATGGTGTGTTTTGGGAGTATTTGAAACAAACCTAGGGTTTGGGTGAGATGTAAAAGAGGGGTTTTTAGGTGGAAATGAAATAAATGAACTTGGGGTTTGAGAATGAAGTCTCATTGTGTCAAAATGGGTGATTTTGATACTTGGATTGATAATTTTGAAAAGGGAGATTTTTGCCCTAAAATGACTATCATATCTATTTTGTATAAATAGTTGAAATTGATGTTTTAAACTTGGAATTGCACAAGTATTGAAATAGATGGTGAAATTGAATAGATGATGTGTCTCATCTTTGGAAATTTTGAATAAATTATATGTCTTGAGATTGTATATCTGTTTAGAGATATCTGTATTGGGCTATCGGTGAAGGATAACTTTGATTGTTGTAGAAATTGCATGTGGATCAGGTGAATTGAAACTATCCCATGGTTGATTATCATTGAATATGATCATGTTGTAAATACATTGTATATGTATGTTTATTTGGGAGGAGAAAGTGAATGTACTCTATATGTATGATTATGTGTTTAAATACATTGTGTATATATGATTGTGTGGGAGGAGAAAGGGGATGGACTCCATTATAATTAAGTTGGTCGGAGTGTCCTGGGTGAAAGTTCCAAAATCTATACATGGGTACCGATCCCGCAGACGAAATATCCGTAAAATGACAAATTGAAATCTATACATGGATGTTGATCCTGTGGAGAAAATATCCATAAAATGGCAATTGGAAGTGTTTATGTGTTGATTGTGAAATTATTGAACCATTGAGTTGTAGTCTCATTTGGCTTACTGGAAATTAATGAAGTTGACTCATGTTTGAAATGAATTGAAGAAAGATGAAAAGGAACATGGATTTGATTTTTGATGATTATATAAAATGTGAATGTTTTATCCCTAGCATTGTACGTGCACATTGCACATATACCTTTGTTAAATCTTATTTGCTGTGTTAGATTGTTTCTACTGGACTGTGGCTCACCCTATTTGGAAAAAACATTTCAGGAAATGATGGCATGCCTCCACCAAGGCAATAACATTGAGGAATCACTGGAAAGCAAGAGCTTCTTGTTTTGTTTTATTTTTTTTTTTGTATAGGCTAGGGCTAAATTTGTATGAGCTAGTCACTTTTTGTTGTAACCAAGCCAAGACTTGGAAATGTGTAAGCCCAACGGACATTTATTTATGTTAAACCCTTTTGTATCATGAACTCTATATAATGAAAGGTCTATTTACTCTGATTCATACAGTTATTAATTTA